GAACAACATTTTTTTTCATACATACATCAACCAGGCCAAATAAATAAACAGTAACTTCATAAACAAACACACAAAAATCAAAGAAATAATTTATCTTTGGCTTTTTTAACCATCTCATACAAACCAACTACTTCTAGTATAGGTAAGTCCACGCACAAAATAGTTCCTGAAATGCTTAGAATCAGATGTTTTGTTTTAAAGGTTTGTTTTTTTTCTTTTCCTCTTCTGAGATTATAATGAACACAGTCACACCACAAGTAAAGTCAGAAGCAGGACAGAGACCACTCCAAAGGCTTGTTTGGTCATCTGAGGTCTCATTAAATATGACTTACCCTTAATACTATGTACAGGAATATAAAATGTAAATAAAAGTACCAAGTGTCAGATTTTAGGTCGTTTTTTAAAAATCATTTTATTAGGGGTTCATACAACTCTTATCACAATCCATACACACATCAATTGTGTAAAGTGCATTTGTCCATTCATTGCTCTTTAGGTAGTTTTAAGAGAAAAAAGGCAAGACTTTGGAAGCTGACCTTCTGGATAGGTGTCCCCACCCTCCATGCCCTAATCCCCAGTTTTGTTTTAAGTTGAACTTTTTCTCTTGCTGTCTAGTCATCTTCAATGGTTGCTGCTTCTTGGGGTCAACATTGTCATTCTCATCATCGTCAACTGCTCCAAATTTGCCTATAGCAACCATAGCCTCCTCATCTCCATCTCTGCCTTTTCCCCACCATCAGCACCTTTTTCCTCTTCTTCATCGGCTCCTCCTTAACATTCCCATTGGTGGACACATCTCTGCCATCTTCGTTTTATCCAATTGATCCTGCTCTACTCTCTTCCAGGTCCATCTCTCTCTCAGCATCTTATAGTTTTCTCTATTTTTATGTATCAACGCCGCTCCCCCAAATCTGTTCCCCAATCTGTACACTTATGGTAACTCCATTTAGATTTAGGGGATGACTGAGCCTTCTGTTTATCACACTCATTTAACTCCTTAATGTAGCCCTGACAGTTGGTCCAGTAGCAACTCTCCCCTTGACTCAGAGGGAGACCTTGTTGCTGTCCTTCAGAGTTCTAAAAGAACATCTTGAAGAAGATATTCAGCAGCCAGTGGTCATCAAAAGTGAAGAATTAAAAAATAATAATAAATCATTTTTTAAGTGAAGAAATATGAGCAGGGGGGCGAGCAACGGAAAAGTGGGTGAGAGGTGATGGAGGATGCTGTAAGATGTGAAAATAATCATCTAGAACTTATCAAAGGTTCGTGAGGGCGGGTGGGTTGGGGAGGGAGGGGGAAGAAATGGGGAGCTGATATCCGGGGCTCAAGTAGGAAGAGAATGCTTTGAAAATGATGATGGCGGCGTATGTGCAAATGTGCTTGACACCCTGGATGAATGTATGGATTGTGACAGATGTAAGAGCCCCCAGTGAAAGTTTTTTTTTTTAAAGAAAGGAATATGAGATGCCTGTGAAGAAGTATCAATATGTATCACACACATCTCCCTTTAACACAAGGAGATACCAGCTATTTTACACAAAAACACACAGACTCGTAGATGCTCTGTATAAAACACAAACACTGCTCGGTCCTGGGTCATTCTCACAACCGTTCTTCTGTCGGAGTCCCACGGTTGCAACCACTGTGTCCAGGCATCTTGTGAGGCATTGGCACAGCTTGATAGGTAATAATGACTTTGTCTGTGAAGTCATTTGCCCATTTCCGTTCATCTGAGAGTGACTTCTTTTTATTCTGTGCTCTCTTAGGAAATGTGTTCTATTTTTACTTCCCATGATTCCTGGAATTCATATTGGCCAAGCATATCTTCTAACAGTTTCATCATATTTGGCATGGAAACATATGTGTCAGACTTATTTGGGTTTGTTGGTGATCATGAGCCTTGTGGTATCTAATGCAAATTTTTTTTCTAATGTAAATTATAGGCGTGCTCTTTCTTTCACTTGTTTGTTTTGAAAGCCTGCCTTGTGTACCTGGTCTCTTTCCATTTTTCTGCACACAGAGTATACCATGATGCAACTCACTGTACTTACGATAGGGGAAAACTTGAGTCAAAAGCATCTCCAAAATAATAATTTATAAATTATCAAGGGCTCATGAGGAAGGGGGCGTGGGGAGGGAGGGGCAAAATGAGGAGCTGATGCCAAGGGCTTAAGTGGAGAGCAAATGTTTTGAGAATGATGAGGGCAACGAACGTACAAATGTGCTTGACACAATGGATGGACGTATGGATTGTGATAAGAGTTGTATGAGCCCCCAATAAAATAATAATTTTTAACAACTTCTCTAGGAGAAGGGGATCCAGGGAGACACATCTGTTTTGCCGCACGTCCCTGACAGGTTAGTCCTCAGCATCTCCGGCTCCCTCCATGTGAAACTCAGTTGGCCTCCAGGGATCCTGCAAAGGCTCTCTGCAAATGCTCCAAGGGTCTCTTTAGACATGCTAAGTAGAAGCATGTTGTTGATTCTGGTAATTAACCAAAGTGGCAAACGTTTTGGAGAAAAGTTCTCAGTTCCCCAGGCCCGTGCTGTCATGGCCACTGAAGGTGAAATGACAATTGCAGTTCTGTGGGGAGGTGAGGTCACAGAATCACAAGCCCATATCTCAGGCTCAGGCTGCCTCACGTCCTGAAACACGCTGGCATCATGACCTGCACCCTGAGCACGGCATCCTGACAGAGAGGAGGAGGTGGGTGAGTGTGTCCTCTTTGGAGCCTCAGAAAAAGGGACGGTAAGGAAAGGGGATGTTAGGAACCGGTGCAAGTGGGATAACGGGATTGCATATGATCCAGGGCCAGATATTGTTGTTCAGTTCAGCTCCAAAGCGCAGCAACCCCGTGCACCAAGGAGGGAGACAGTGAGAGAGTCTGCACCTAATGTCTGAATTCTCACACTAGGTTTGACCTCGTTTTGGCAGCCATTGTTTCCATCCATCTCCTGGAAATGTTTCTTCTTTTTCACGGATTCTCCAATTTACCCAGCATGGTGTCCTTTGCCAGGGACTTGTCTTCCCCATTGAACAATAACCTCAAGGTCAGCAGTGGGAAACCACCAGCTACTCTACAGGAGAAAAGTTGACCCTTGCTTTTCCTGTAAAGAGTGAAGGTCCCAGAGTTCTATCCTGTCCTGTAGGATGGCGAGGAGTTGGAATGGACGTTGTGGCTGTGAGTGTGCTTTGGGAGTCCGGTCGTACCTGATCACAGCTCTGCAGTGTTGTCACCCTCGCTTCTAAGTAGCATTCTGGTTGTATTTCATCCAAGCTAGCTTTGTTCTTTTGAATGTCCATGGTCCTTTCGGTATGCATCAAGAAACCATGATGGAAATGCATCTATTCTTTTGACTCCTTGTATCCATGGTCCTCATTTCACAGGGACACATCTGTCAGTTTGCCAAACCGTAGTGACTTGCTTGTTGGTGACATTCTGGATGCTGTGTCACCCGTATTTCAACTACCAGCTGGGTTAACGACGGTGAACAAATTTCAGTGGAGCTTCCAGACTAAGAATGAATTCAAATCTCGATGCCATGCAGTTGCTTACAATGAATACAAATGCTCTAGGACAGGGTAGAACTGTCCCTGTGGGTTTCTGAAACTGTAGCTCTCTACTGCATAGAAAGCCTCATCTTCCTTCCTTACATCTCTGGGGGCTTTGAACTCCCTAACTAGCCGTTAGCACTGGAACACATAAGCCACCACGCCACCAACGCTCTTCGAAGAAGGACTATCCTGTTCTCTTCTGAAGGGCTGCTCACAGCAAACCTGATGAACAGCAGCTTATAAGAAGAAGGGATAATCTCTGTGGCCGGAGTCATAAGTAGTAAACGCGTGGGGGGTCTTAGACCTTATGCCAGTCAATCCATGATGGCTTCTAAAGTAGCCTTCACTGATAGTAATTGGTATAACCTGCAAGTACTAATGAAGCCTGATTGTTAATGAGTTTAGGGACTGTTGTTTTGAAATCACTCTACTGCTCGGCCTAGCCCAGAAGCATCATAGATTACTGAAGACATTGCTATTCTTCTCTGTGCCTGCACTAAAGCATAGGACGATCGACAGGATGCATCAAATCTAGGGCAGGAAGTATAATCAAGTGACAATTACTTGGATAGGAATACCTATTTTCTTCTGACTCTGTTTATATGGCATAAGGAATAGTGACAGTGTTGGTGTCTTTCTGGAAGCATCGTGACTCACGAGTGACTAAAACGGTTTCCCCTTTGGAAGGCAGGGAAACAGTATTTGAGGCAACGTTGACACCAGTGGGGGTTTCAAATAGAAGCCAGTAGGAGCCTCTTGGGACGTCTTCACTGCTTGGATAATATGCACCTCTGATTCCACTATTAGGCTATTTCACTTTTTAAGTGCACAAGGTTTTATGCTGTACGCTTTCCATGCTTCACTTTGATAAAAGTTAGTAATGCATTATATGACTCTCTAAAAAGGCTGTGCATGCCCCTTATCCATCCAAAGCATATGAAAGCCAAACCAAGCTCCCTGTCACCCAGGAGATTCTAACTCATGGTGACCTTTTTATAGGCTAGCAGAGAACGGGCCCTCTGAGTTTTCTGAGACTATTAAGTCTCGACAGGAGTGGAAAGTCTCATCTTTCTAACGTGGAGCTGGTGGTTTTGAACTGCGGGCCTTGAGGTTAGCAGCCCAATGTGTAACCCACTACGCCACTGAGCTCTGAAGAGAAGCTGGGGTAGCTGGTCCATCATCAGGCCTGGTGGTTACTGCGTAGTGCTGTATTTCAGTCGACATGATACATGTACCCTATGCCTCACATTCCCGTGCAGGAACTCTGGGTCTGCAGATAAATCTCAGTCACTGGAAACTGGCAGAATGGCTGCCATGGATTTAGCAGTAGGAATGATCTTTGTATCACAGACTGTACTGGGCATCTGGGGAAATGTCTCACTTCTTTACCACTATATTTCCCTTCACTTCACTGGGTGCAGGTTAAGGTCCACAGATATGATTCTCAGGAACATTGTTGTATCCAACTCTCTGGTTATTCTGACTAAAGGAATCCCCTATTCAGTGGCAGCTTTGGGGTGGCAGTATGTCCCAAATGATTTTGGATGTAAATTTGTTTTCTATCTTCACAAAGTGGGCAGGGATGTGTCCATTTTCAGCACCTGCCTCTTGAGTGTCTTCCAAGCCCTCACCATCAGCCCCAGGTGCTCCAGGTGGGCAGAGCTGAAAAGAAAAGCTCCCAAGTCCATAAAATTTACTATAATCCTGGGCTGGATCTTCTACCTGTTGCTAAATGTCATGACCCCTGTGAATATGATTGGTAAATGGAGCTACAGAAACATCACAAAGAGAAGAGATTTTGTGTACTGCTCTTCTACATCTCTTGACAAAACGATGCAATCTGTTTATACAGCACTGGTCATATTTCCTGATGTGTTGTGTTTAGTGCTCATGCTCTGGGCCAGCACGTCCATGGTTTACGTCCTGTACAGACACCAGCAGCAGGTCAGACACATTCAGAGAAACACTGCTTCCCCCAGCTCCTCCCCTGAGACCAGAGTCACCCAAAGCATCCTTGTCCTGGTGAGCACCTTCGTGTTTTTCTACACCTCCTCTTCCATTTTGCACATTTGTATCTTTCATTTGAATATTTTTGGTTCCTTGCTGGTGAACATCTCTGCATTAATTGCTGCCTGTTTCCCAACCATCAGCCCCTTTCTGCTCAGGAAGCAGGGCTCCAGTGTGTCTGTTCTACGCTTTTCCAGGGCAAGGAAAGAGAATCCTCTTCGTTTGTGAGGAAACTGTCAGTTGTTATATTTCACAGTCGTTAGTTGTTTCCTCACTCATCCTCCATAGAATCTTTTATTTTTTCATGTCCTGTTCCTTAGCCTCTTCTCCAAAACAAAAAGCCTTTGATTAGGAATTGGGTGACAGTGTAAAAATTAAATCAGTTTTCCATTCAGTAATTTATGCACATCTTGCTTCATATTATTGATTGTAATAAACATATTATGTTTATTATTGATATTATTATTGGGATAAACAATGTAACAGTGTTTATCCCACTTCCTCGCTGTGTTGTTATTGTTGTTGTTGTTGTTGTTTTCTTGGTTCCATTCCTCCTCTCCTAACCCTTCTGAGTTTGTCCTTGGGCCTCCATAGAATATAAAGCACAATGTGTTATGCACATAATTCAAGAGAGGCGCTGTACACAACCACATCCTTTCTTTCTTTCTTTTACAACCTGTGGACTTTATTTGAATCATCAACAAATCGCCAGTATAGTGTCCTATCTGGTGTCTACGTCGTTCAAAAACAGCCACCTCCTTATGGGTCCGATAGTCGTGTACGCATATATAAGACAAATCATGTGTGTTACGCCTCGTGCAATAGTAGTGTTAAATTGTACATTAAGAAATGTAAATTCAGAAATAAGACTCGTCATAATGATGATCATTTTTTCATGAGATGGACATGTCTGATATTTACCCTGCCATGTTAATTGATGAACGGATTCAAATCATATGGAATGTGTGTTTTCTTATCTAATTTAAGTCATACGTCTTAACTCTAAATCTTAAAAAAATATATGTCCAAACTCACTATATCAAACAATATTTTACCTTGACAGGAAAATGTATCTGCTTATATAGCATATGAAACTGGATATATATGGAACTAGTTCTAAACATAACGGGTGACTTTATGTGTGGTTTGTTGTGGTTCTTAGTGTAACTTTACTTCATCTATGTTCATTTATTTCAGTCATTCTGCATTTGATCCCCTCCCCCCTTTTGCAAGCTGTTTATTCACTATTCATTTTTTAATCCAAAAATTGAAACACAGTTTAAAACATTCATAAGAATGTAAAGTTACTTCATACCTTTATTAAACTCTATCTTGGCATAGCGACATTAATACTATCGTTTTACCTTCTGATATGTTCAGGGCATGCGTGAGACATCCCAAACTGAAATGCTTGCATTTGAAGCTCCTAGATAGGAAAATAAACAACCCATTGTCAGTCCTCGATATATGGCCTGCGACCAGCCGCAGCCCCGTGCCCACCCTGGCGAAGGAGGTGAAGTTACCTGGTTTCAGCCTCAGAAAGAACCAGGAGCCTTTTCCCTGCGCTGCTGGAACGATGATGAGATTTCCCGGGAGCGGAGACTGCCGGGCACTCCTGGGAAACCTGGTGTACTGGGGATGATTGGCAGCCAGAGGAAGAAAGGCTTCCTGAGCTTGTTGGACCCCTTATGTTTGTAGCAGCTTCTAAAACAGTTGCCTTTCCCGGTGCTGCATGTTCATGTTCTTAGCTGAAGAGGGACAGAAACTCAGACCCTTGGAGGCACAGTGCTTCCCGAGAGAGGACCAGCGCCCAGAGATCAGAGTTTCATCTGAGTGGCTCTGCAGGGCTCTTCAGACAGGCTCGGCCTAGGGACTGGCCATGGGAAGGGGAGTCAGGAACAAGCTGTTTGGGTCTCTTTCCTGCAGGAGTTGCGGTTTCTCTAAATATCTCCTCCAGGGCAGCTGTGTCTCCGTGGGACTCTGTGAATCCATCTGCCACCCAGAAACCCAGTGGGCATTTTATCAAAAGCTGTTCCTCATGTGCCCTGCTCAATCTTTTTTTAATCAGAATCTATTTATCTGGATTTATTGATTTTTTTCTTTATTTTTTTAAAAAATAAGTCATCTTATTGGGGCTCTTACAGCTCTTAGAACAATCCATGCATCCATCGTGTCAAGCACATTTGTACGTATGTTGCCATCATCATTTTCAAAACATTTTCTTTCTACTTGAGCCCTTGGTATCAGCCTCTCCCC